CTTTTTCCGGAGGATCGGGGCCAGTGTAGACGCTCTTTTCCGGCTTTTTTAAAAGCCGGAAAAAAGCGGCGGCCATTTTTATTTAAATGCCGCGGGGGATATTTAAATCCCCCGCGGATTTCCCTACGACGACTCTTGAAATTTACATGCCCCTTACGGAAGAGGGGCCAGTGTAGACGTAGCCATGCTGTAGACATCTCTTAGGCTTAACTGTTGCTGTGGGCTAGGTACCACTTGCATTGCTCAGTAACCACACTAGGAATATGTCTACACTCGCGGCTTCTTGCGGGAGAGATATGCAAATGAGGCTAAGCATGGAATATCGCCTAGCCTCATTTACATACCTTTGCAGAAGAGGCTCTTGTGCCAGAAGGAGCTGTCTACACTGCCCCTTCTTGCGCAAGAAAAACCCTCTTGCGCAATGCCATTATTCCTGAAAATAATCAGTGTAGCGGCATTGCACAAGAGGGTTTTTCTTGAACAGGAAGGGGCAGTGTAGACAGCTCCTTCTGGCGCAAGAGCCTCTTCTGCAAAACTAGTGGCTCATTAGGTATGCAAATGAGGCTTGGCGATATTTCACGCTTAGCCTCATTTGCATATTTCTCGCGCAAGAAGCCGTGATTGTAGACATAGCCTTGGTGTGTGAGTTACATGAGCACTTCACCAATCCCAATATCATTCTGAGGTAGAGAAATACTAATATCCCAATTTTTCAGGTGGGAAACTGAGGCATGGGGAGTAAGTGATTTGTCCACGACTACCCAGGAGAAAACTGGAAATAAAGCTCAGATTTTTTAAGGTTCTTACAGTTTATCTTGCTGAGGTAGCACCTTGAGTACTATTCTGGGCATGAGCATTGGCCACATTGAAGTTTTGAATCTCTGTTACTGTTAATCTGTAAGCCTAATATTGCAATGAGCTTACTTTTTTTCTGATCTCGTGGCACAAAAAGTGAGTGGCAGTTCTTCAGCTATTGTAAATTGGTGTGAGTTACAAAGATTTACACCAGTTGAAGATCTAGCCCTCATTATATACAACCAATACCAGGACCTTTGCACTAGGACATTGCCTATTTAACCATAACTGGAAAACTAATGAGGAAAATATATCTTCTAGAATGGAAAGCTTAGGGGTAGGAGGAATTCTGAGACTTAGCATAGCAGGATTGGCTGTCCCTTTAAGGCAGGAGTGGGGAACCTTTTTTGGGTCAGGGGCCGCTGACCCACAGAAACATTAGTCAAGGGCTGAACACAAGTGAGATGCTAAAAAACAACTCCAAAAAACAACAACCCTCACTGAAGCGACCCCCAACTGAGAAAGAGAAAGACATTCTCCATATTCCCCTCATATCAGAGCCTAGGGGGACCCAGGCTAGTAGATTTTGTGTGCTCTAGCCCTGCGGAGAGATGGTGGGGATGGCGGGGCAGGGCTGGAACACTAGCATGGGCTCTCCAATGCTGAGGGAGAGCCCAGAGCCTTGGGGCCAAATCCAGGCAAGCTGGGGGCCACATCTGGCCCCTGAGCCTCATGTTCCCCATCCCCACTTTAATGCAAGCTGTGAGTCCATTCTAGACTACAGTTGCCAGACATTCTGGGAGCTGTAGGCCTGGTTGCATGCATGATGGGAAAGGAACAGACTACAAGAGGCAGCCTTTCACAGTGTGGCCAGTTCCTGTGATTCTTGTGGGTGGTTTTCTTGAAGCCCCAGCTTCATGTGGAAACTCAACTTTCATTTAAAAACTAAGGTTCAATTCTAGCCCATATCATCATGGAACAAAGTTTGAAAATGTGACCTAAGCCATAAGGTTAAGAAATCAGAAGACAAAGAAATCTTTTTAAAAAAACTCATGATTCTTAAACTAGTCCTGTGATTGTTGGAGCATGACTCATGGATTTTGAATGGTTCTTAGGGATATCTGTAATGCTTTCCTGAGTGGATAGAAAGTCCAGGCAAGCAGAAGCTTAGGGGAGCTTCTTCAGGGGCTGGCTCAAGATGATTTTCTCTTGAGAGGGAGGCTGCAAAGTTGTTTGCTTAAGACATTTCAGAAGGTCTAAGAGGAGATGAGGCAAAGTAGGAAACGTCTGGAAAAGAGTAAAGCAGAGCAGTGATTTTAATACAGTGCACACCAGCTTAGGGTACATATATCTACATGGGAATAAAAGACCTGCAGCATGGCTGTGGCTGGTCCAACTATGGCTGACCCAAGTCAGCTGATTCAGACTCAATGGGCTCAGGCTGTGGAGCTCAAAAGTGGTTTGTAGATGTTGGAGGTTAGCGTGGAGCCTAGAGTCTGAGATACTCTCCCCCTTGTATGGTCCTAGAGCCTGGGCTGCAGCCCAAACCGGAATGCCTACACAGTAAGTTTTAGATTCCCAGCCTAAGCCTCATGAGCCCAAATCAGCTGATCTGGGCCAGCCACAGATGTTTAGTGTCTGTGCACACTTACATTTATGAGTCAACAGTGTGGCCTTGTAGCCAACAAGGCTAATGGCATATTGGGGTGCATTAGTAAGAGCATTGCCAGCAGACCTAGGGAAGTGATTATTCCCCTTTATTCAGCACTGGTGAGGCCACATCTAGGGTGTGTCTAGACTGGCAAGTTTTTCCGCAAAATCATGTGATTTTGCGGAAAAACTTGCCAGCTGTCTACACGGGCCGCTTGAATTTCTGGAAAAGCACTGACAATCTCATGTAAAATCATCAGTGCTTTTCCGGAAATACTATGCTGCTCCCGTTTGGGCAAAAGTCTTTTTCCGAAATTCTTTTGCGCAAAAGGACCAGTGTAGACAGCATAGTACTGTTTTCCGCAAAAAAAGCCCCGATCGCGAAAATGGCTATCGGGGCTTTTTTGCAGAAAACCGCGTCTAGATTGGCCACGGACGCTTTTCCGCAAAAAGTGCTTTTGCGGAAAAGCAGCCTGCCAATCTAGACGTGATTTTTCCGAAAATGCTTTTAACGGAAAACTTTTCCGTTAAAAGCATTTTCGGAAAATCATGCCAGTGTAGACGTAGCCCTAGAGTATTGCATTCAGTTCTGAGCCTCCCATTACAGAAAATATGTGGATACACTGAAGAGAGTCCAGTAGAGGGCAACAAAAATTATTAGAGGCTGGAGTGCATGACTTATGAGGACAGGCTAAAGGATTTGGTTTTATTTAGTCTACAGAAGAGGAGAGTGAGGGGGGATTGGGAAGGGGTTCCAAAGAGGATGGAGAAAAGCTGATCTCAGTGGTGACAGATGACAGACCAGGGAACAATGGTCTCAAGTTACAGTGGAAGAGGTCTAGGTTGGATAGTAGGAAAAACTATTTCCCTAGGAGGATGGTAAAGCACTGGAATGGGTTAGCTCAGGAGGCGGTGGAATCTCCATTAGGATATTAATGGAAAGAAACAACTTTCGTGTTACCTGTAGAGACAGCTACTGCACCAATAAGAACAGATGGAATGACCATGAAAACACATCCAAACCCTGCAAAATAAGAAGTGAGCCTTGCTTGTCTGGATGAGGAAGCTGCGAGAACTCTTTGGAAATAGATCTGCCATGCAATACTTCCAAGAGCCTGAAATGAAGGCAAACGACTAAAATAAGTCATACATCAATATAAAGGGCTGAAGTATCATTTGTGATAGACCTTCATTTGTCTTCTCCTGCACCAGAATTTTCATAGCTCTATATGCTCCATTATGTCTTCCTCTCTTTATCCCCCACCCTCCCAACTTTGTAGGACATAATATAATCACAGATAATGTTTTACATGCTGACACAACTTCTCCCCCTCTCCCCTGAAGTTTTCTGAAATGACACTATTGATGGATAGGAGGAGTGCTGGCCAGCATTTGGTGACTAAAGGATTAAACTCAGGTAGCTACGGGGTGTTGGTAGGAAGCCAGGATAGCCAATGGCAGATGGTGTTGAAATTTAAATTGAAAGGAATACTTGCCTGCTTTTTTCCTTTGTGTGAGCTTAAGCTACAAGCTGGGAGAAGCCGAATTAAATCAGACAGACTACCATGCCTACAAGGAATATTGGGCATGGAAATACAGAATGGGAAGCGACTGTCTAGGAAGGCGTACGGCAGAAAGGGATCTAGGGATTATAGTAGACCACAAGCTGAACATTAGTCAGCAGTGTGATGCTGTTGCAAAAAAGCAAACATGATTCTGGGATGCATTAGCAGGTGTGTTTGTGAGCAAGACACGAGAAGTCATTCTTCCGCTCTTCTCTGCGCTAGTTAGGCCTCAGTTGGAGTATTGTGTCCAGTTCTGGGCACCGCATTTCAAGAAGGATGTGGAGAAATTGGAGGGAGTCCAGAGAAGAGCAACAAGAATGATTAAAGGTCTAGAGTACATGACCTATGAAGGAAGGCTGAAAGAATTGTGTTTTAGTTTAGAAAAGAGAAGATTGAGGGGGGACATGATAATAGCTTTCAGGTATTTAAAAGGCTGTCATAAGGAGGAAGGAGAAAACTTGTTCATCTTGGCCTCTGAGGATAGAACAAGAAGCCAATGGGCTTAAACTGCAGCAAAGGAGGTTTAGGTTGGACATTAGGAAAAACTTCCTAACTGTCAGGGTATTCAAACACTGGAATAAATTGCCTAGGGAGGTTGTGGAATATCCATCTCTGGAGATATTTAAGAGTAGGTTAGATAAATGTCTATCAGGGATGGTCTAGACAGTATTTGGTCCTGCCATGAGGGCAGGGGACTGTCCCTTCCAGTCCTAGTATTCTATGATTCTATGAAATGGACTGGACCTGATAGTATGCATCAGTACAGCTCGAGAGTAGATAGAGAAATGTATATTTAGTCACAATCATGTTATTGTTCTTTGGTTTTTGTTTGGTTAAACTTCTCCATGTGCTTCCCCAGCTCCCCATTCACTATATCTAAGCTGCACCCAGAGATACTGTTTCTCTGTGTTTTGGTTTGTTTTTTCTCAGTTGCTCTGTAACACCTAGTAACCAAGTATGCTTTATTAAGTATATCTGTTTGTTTTGCTAATAACAATCACCTTTTTTAAGGGGATGATTTGATTCTTGCATCGTGGAAAGTAGCAGGAGGTTTGTGTATGTGTGCCCAAAACTAAGAGGTCATCTATCAGAGATTGCATTTTGTTTTCTGTTTTTCTTTAAGCTCTCTTGTGGTAAAAGAGCTTGGGGGCGTATCCCTCTGGAAGATGTTCAAGCACTTCTTCCTGGATTTCAGAAGAAGGTTTTTTTTTGTTTGTTTGTTTTTATACTTGTTGGTGGAAGCCAGGGAATCTGTGACCTTGGGGAGTTTTTTTTTTATCAGAAGCCTATAAAGGCAAGGTGTTTAAGGTCTCTTTCGGGCATCCACCTTCTGCACTTGACTGCCAGAGAGGGGAACAGCCCTGACAACACTTCTGATTCATGACAAATGCTATTCTGATGAAGGTAGTTCCTCCCTGAGTCCAGACAATAGCAGAGGTTACTGCTGCTACTGCAGTCTTGAGGCTGTAATATTCCCTCTGGCTGTCACTCTGTCCTTTTGCAGGGAGGATGGTTGTAGAACTGTAGAGTCACAGATCCATTATCCTGGTTCCCATTCCTCTGTTGGCTTGCCTCCCTCCTACCCCATTCCGTTCCATTACAGGTAGAAAAGATCCCCTGAAAAACTGGGCATCTGTGGTGGGGCTTCCTCCATTCTGTAGCAGAACTGCCCTGGTTCCATTGTCTTTGTGGGAAAAAGATCAGGAGTTTCTTTGCCAACCACAGAGAGTATCTGGCATCAGAACTCCTCTGTTGTCATTTATCATTTATTATTTTTACAGCACCTAGTAAACAGGACAAATAAGACTGGCTCTACTCCCAAAGACCTTATAATCAAGATTTAAACATGAGCTGAGGATAATAAACTGCCTGGAGAAGGATGGGCTGAGGCTGGACAAAAGTCACAGCCCTGTTCATCATTCAGTGTTATTATTGCTTCTTATTTCTTACACCTGTTTCATTCTGGCTCATTGGTTTAGGGGAATTAATCTTGGTTTCGGTCTGAGTGATTCCAGGTTCAAATTAATGATAAGCCCTTGTTTGTTTAGTTTGGAAAAGAGAAGACTGAGAAGGGACATGTTAGCAGTTTGCTAATATCTAATGGTATGTCTACACTAGCTTGGTAGTTCGAGCTAGGTAGGCAAATGAAGCCCGGGATTTAAATATCCCGGGCTTCATTTGCATCTTCCCGGGTGCTGCCATTTTAAAATCCCCCTTAGGCTACACACGGCACAGAGTAGGTAGTTCGAATTAGGATCTCTAATTCGAACTACCATTACTCCTCGTTCTGCCATATTTAAATCCCGGGCTTCATTTGCAACTCCGGTTGCCCTCATTTGCCTACCTAGCTCGAACTACTGAGCTAGTGTAGACATACCCTAAAAGAGTGTTACAAGGAGGAGGGAGAAAAAATATTCTCCTTAACTACTGGTGATAGGACAAAAAGCAATGGGCTTATATTGCAGCAAAGAAAGTTTAAGTTGGACATTAGGAAAAACTTCCTAACTAGCAGGATGGTTAAGTACTAGAATCAATTGCCTGGGTTGGCCATGGAATCTCCATCAATAGTGAAATTTAAGAGCAGGTTAGACAAACATCGGTCAGGGATGGTCTAGATGCAGCTTAGTTCTGCCATCAGTGCAGGGGACTGGACTTGATGACCTATTAAAGTCCCTTCCAATTCTATGATTCCTTGGCACATTCACTCCTGCTGTTGAATGAGTGAGTGCAGGAGAAATGGTCTGGCAAAATAAGAACAAACACAACCTTTGTCTGGTGCCTTCAAGGGAATCTGAACCAAACATTTTTGGCAAGTTGGAAATGAAAGAGAAGTAGCTGTTTAATAGTTTTTCTTTTGCATTTCTAGGTTCTGTCTAGGATCTAAAGTAGCCAGACAACAATATGGTGAATAAGGTTCTTCTAATGGCACTTTCAGCTTGGTTAGTGGGAGGAGTCATGTTCTCTGTTGTTGTAAAACTCTAGTGATGTCAGTGGTTCTATGCCAGTTGAGAAACTGGCTGGAATGTATATTACATGTCTCTGCAATGCCTATTCTCTTAAAATTGACAGTCCAATTCTACAGTCAAAGTGGTGCAGGTAATTCTGATACACATCCTGATTTCTGGGGCCCATCTGAACTCAGTTTGCTCTTGGTGAGGTTCACTTGACATTAATGCACCATGATAAAGATTCATCCATAAAAAAATCTAAAATTCCAAAGTGTCTTTCTGTGCTCTATTCTACTGTGTAATGCTCAATCTCTATTATTGGGTTTATAGAAAGATGCTTTGTTTTTACTGATACTCTAGGACAGTGTTTCCCAAATAGTGCTCCGCAGGACCCGAGGGTTCTGCAAAGTCAAAGTAAGGGTTCCATGAGAACCCGATCACTCCTCCTCCCAGAGCTGGTCTTTGGGGCGGGTGAGCCTGGTGGTCTCCTGGGACCACCATTTTCAAGAGGCTGCCGGCTGGTGCAGGCTTAGAGCCGGGCTGGTGGGTTTTTTTTCTTTTTGCTTGACAGTTCCTCCTCCCTTTTTTTTTGGTTGACCAGTTTTCCCTTGAGGTTTTTTTTAAAAGGGGTTCTGTGGCCAAATAAAACTAGGAAACACTGCTCCAGGAGAACTATTAGAAGGAAAGGATGGAGAAAACAAAGATCTTACCACATACAAAAGTTCATCTAGCCATCTTCCAACATACTCAGTTTCCAGTTTGCCAATCCATGGTACTTGATAGAATTCATTAACAGCAGTATAATAGATGCTTTCAGTTGCAGAGTTCAGCAGTGCAAATGGCACACAAGTCCACTGTGTTGAGCATGAAAATAGCTATCAGCAAAAAAGGCTAACGTACACCAGTCAACATTTGTAACTTCTCTGTTTTCCCTATAAACCTGAAATTTCCCCGCTATATCATACCACCACCAAACCTTGGGATTCACAGAAATCTGACATTGCCGTTAATCTCTCAAATGTAATGTTAAGGATGGTGCTGGTGTGCGTAGACTGAGGCTGAGAAGGGAAAAAAACTAGTCCTGTTTAACCTTTCCATTTAAACTTCTGTCTTGTTTTCAAAAGCTCTTTTTATATAGCTCACATGGGAGCGTTGTTCTTTTCGTGTTATAATGTGGGAAGTTGTTTTGCATTGCTGGGGTGCTACAAACCAATCTGCCTTAAATTGGGGAGCATGTTAGAGGACTCTTCCCTAAACCTGCAGAGAGGTTGCTGCACAGGCCCTCTGGGTGTCATACTCTGTTCTAAGACACAGCCTCGCTTAGTCCTGACCCCATGGAGTCATATCCTGTGCAGTTTACCCCAGCTTCTTGATGGGATACATTGCTATGGGGCTGGGAACAGCCAGTGGCAAATCAAAGGGAATCAATCCCATTTGACTCAAACAAACCAGAGGCTGAAATATTAATCATGCAGTCTCCAGCATGAGTAAGCAATGAGGATGCAATTTCCTCTATTTCCTACTGAAATAGATACTGGTAACTTAACACTGTTATAACCCAGAGAGCATTCTCAGTTTATAGGAAGAACTTCCCTCCTCCCTCGCCCCTTCAAGAATCTGGATGGGACTGACTCAATTAGAGAGCATTGTCCTGACCCTCTTTCTCATCGGCACATGAAGCTGCTGTCCTGAACATACTTAACAACTGAAGATTTACTTTTGCCTGAAATTTTTAAGAGCTCAATTTTGGCTATAAGGCCCATGGGGAGGTGGCGATACGAAGACACAAGCCTCGTAGAATACATAACTATGAGGAATGTTACTGGTACATTCCCCGTTACGTTGCACTATTGGGTTGTGTCTACGCTGCACCCATAGCTTGAAATAAACTACGCAATTTGAGCTACGCAAATTGTGTAGCTTATTTCGAGTCAATTTTAAAATAGCTTATTTCAAGATTTGTCACTGTCTACACTGCACTTATTTTTAAATAAATTGCTATTCCAAAACATCCCTTACTCCTCATGGAATGAGGTTGACAGGGATGTCGGAATAGTGAGCCTGGAGGGATACCGAAATAGTGCTGCAGTGTAGACGTAGCCATTCAGGCCTGTTGACAGGGGAGGAGGGGAAGCAGAGGGGGCTACTGCCCCAGCGTCCGGCAATTCAAAAGGACTAGTTGTGCTCCAAGCCACCACCAGTGATACTGTAGCACTGGTGGCTGGAGCTCCGGGCCCTTTCAGTTGTCACCAGATCACTGCCTGGTGTATTCCAGGCAGCTGTGGGGGTCGACTCAGGGAGATGGTGGCGTGGTGCGGAGCTGAGCTGAGGTCTGGCTGCCCCAGCCCCGCCCATTCTGCCCAAGGTCTTGTCCCTTCTAGTAGTGCAGAGCTGCCCCCTCCCCCACTACTTTGCCCCAGGCCCGACAAGTCTGTCAGTCTCCCCACTACATATAGTGCCCTCCTTGTCAGAAGCTGCTGTGATTGTACTGTAAGGACGCCGGGAGTTCGGAAGGAGAGACCAAAGACCATCCTCCCTTTTTAGAAGGCAGAGCTCCAGATTTCTGGGGCCGAGCAAGGATCTGATGGCAGGATCCTCTCACTTATAGCAGGATCTGTTTACTGTGCTATAATTGTTTAAGTACTGTAATGTTAAATATAAACTCTCTGGGCCTCAAGAACACCACCCTGCACAGAGCATCTCTCCTGGCTGGTGTAGATTTGGTGAAGGCATTCTTCGTCCTGCCACTTTGGGAGAGACTGGTGCAGATGTGGGTGATACTTGCATTCTCTGGACACATGTACAGCAGGTATTTCTAGCTATGTGCGTGTGTGTTTGTGGTGCCCAAAGGTTCCTGGAGCTGCCTCCTTCCTCACCCCACCTTCAGCATCCATTCTGGGAGCACAAACAATCTTGCCTAAATGGCTAAAGCCTTTAGAAGGAAGCTGTTTAATTTATAGCTGGTCTTCTGGGTCACCTTAGCCTGAGCTGCCAGTTAAGTGACTGGTGTTAATCTAGCCACCAGAGGGGGCCTATGCTGTGCCATAAAAGCAGTTGGGAGAACTGCATGAATTAAGCCTTGCAGAGTTCAAATAAAGTGTATCCTTTGGGTTGTAGCAGGCTTGCAACATTTAAGAAAAGGAAACTGAAGCCTAAAGTTCCCCACTTTGGCCTTTCTGGGTCTCTCTGCCTGAATTCCCTTGTGGCTATTTTGACTGTTATATTAGAGTAAAATGCTCTGAACAAAATACACGGATGCCAGATTCTGGCTGATGCTATTGCTACACCTGAAAAACTAGAGCCAGGAGTAGTATAGAACACATACTGCAGTGCCCTAAACTTAGCTGCTCCAAAACCCATGGAATCGCATCTCACATCATAGTATGCCAGAATTAGTTCCATGGAGTTACATTGGCATGCAGCCAGCATCAGAGAGAGGGGAGTCAGGCTGCCTGGAGTTAATATTTTGCAATATTAGTGAGTTGCTCCCATGTTGAGCCTTGAAGGAACATTCTGTGAAAGGGATTTGGGGTGGAGCTATGGGGTTGTGTGAGTTTTAGTGTCTTATTTACTACATATGGAATGCATCCTCTTCCCTTTTATTAATCCTGTCACAAGCAGAGATTGTGTAGGCACAACCTATGTCTCTAAAATAGGGAGTAGCTATTTTAAGCAACACGTGCAGCAAGCCAGAATCTGACCTTTCAGAGTTCCAGTGAGTGGTGCTGTTGTATTCAGTGTGGACACACAGCTGTAATCATGATTGGTTTCTAATTTGCTAACACTGAATACTGGTTTTGATTTAAACAGTTTTAATTTCAGCCTTTTAAGGTCAGCCCATCTAACTTCAAGGAAAAGCCTGTTACAGACCCCTTCATTACAAATTCAAATGCAACATTCTGACAGTCACCTGCTCATTCTGTGGGGATAGTTTTGGATGTCCACAAAAGGCTCCATCCTGCAAACACTGTGGCTGTGTACAGCATTTCCGGAAAATCATGCCAGTCTAGACGTAGCCTGTATGTATGTGAATTAGTCCATTGGACTGCTCACCTGCGTTAAGTTCTTAGTGCTTGTAGGACTGTGCTCTGAAACCCACACCCTTCGTAGACCCCTGTGCCTGCCTGCGGACCACTGGAGCTACATATGGATGCAGCAATCCCACCATATAGAATTCAGTGTAGAACTGGGACATCAAGCACCTGTCCTGCAAACACTTAAGCACTGCACAACTCTAATTGAAATGAATAGGGTCACTCACATGAGTAAAGTCACTGCAATGGCTAGATAATGGCACCGAAAGTACAATTACACATTTTGTAGATTATACCAAGTTGGGAGTGCTTTGGAGGACAGGTTTATAATTCAAAATGGTCTGGACAAACTGGAGACATGGTCTTAAGTAAATACGATGATGTTCAATAAGGACAAATGCAAAATACTCCACGTAGGAAGGAACAATTAGTTGCACACATACAAAATGGGAAAAAAACAGTGGACTGTTTGGGGCAGCTGCTCCAGGCCCTGCACTTGGGGGGGCTCACAGGGCAAGGTGGCCTGGGGGATTACCAGGAGGGGCTGGCTCCAAAAGCAGGAGCTGGGTTCACCCCCGCACTCACTAGCAGCAGCAGGAGCCATCGCAAGTGGAACGACCCAGTCCCAGACTGTTCTATTCCGCCATTTCCCAGCTGGGTTGCTTTGCTTCACCACAGAATGGCGTGGAAAGAGGCGGGATGGGACAGAGCAGGCGTGGGGCTTGGGGAAAGAGGGGAAATGAAGAATGGGTGAGGGAAGAGCACGGGTGGGTGGGGACAAGGCCTGTGGCAGAAAGTGTGTGTGTGGGGGGGTTGTTCCAGTCCCCACTCCTCCCTAGGGAGGTTCTGGAAATGACTGCCTAGGAAGGAGTACTGCAGAAAAGGATCAGGATGCGGGGGAGGTGGTAATAGTGAACTACAAGCTAAATATGAGTCAACATTGTTGCCAAAAAAGCAAACATTATTCTGGGATGCATTAGCAGGAGTATTGTAAGTGTGACACGAGAAGTCATTCTTCCACTCTCCTCCACACTGATTAGGCTTCAATTGGAGTATTGTGTCCTGTTATGGGTGCCACATTTCAGGAAAGATGTGGAAAATTGGAAAAAGTACAGATAAGAACAGCAAAAATGGTTAAAGGTCTAGAAAATATGGCTTATGCAGAAAGATTGAAATAAACTGTGTTTGTTTAGTCTAGAAAAGAGAAAACTGAGAGAGGACATGATAACAGTTTTCAAATATTAAAAGGCTGTTAAAACGAGGAGGGGAAAAAATTGTTCTTCCTAACTTTTGGTGATATGGCAAGAAGCAATGGGCATAAATTGCAGCAAGGGAAGTTTAGGTTGGACATTAGGCAAAACTTCCTAACTGTCAGGATGGTTAACCACTGAAATAAATTTCCAAGGGAGGTTGTAGCATCTCCATCATTGGAGATTTTTAAGAGCAGGTTAGATAGACACCTGTCAGGGATGGTCAGATAATACTTAGTCCTGCCATGAGTGCAGGGCACTGAACTAGAGGAACTCTTGACGTTCGTCCAGTCTATGGTTCTATGATTCTATGTTCTAATGGAATTGAATTGTTTTTTAAGCACCATGGGGCAAGGATTATTTAGTCTTTTCTTTAAATGTTCACCTAACTTTGGGTACCTGAAAACATCATTTCTAAATTTTCCAATGTATGTGTTGTCCCCCCCCCCCCATCAGAGTTTGCTGAATTTTTTTTTAATGCCTAAATGTAATTAAATATATTTATTTTTTAAAACTGTACTTTTGTATAATATTGTTTTGAAGGGAGGGGGCAGTGCTGAGATATTTATGAGTCTAAACAATATACTGCCTGAGAAACCTGTTGCTGTTTTAATGCTGACATTCAGAAAAAGCAGTGTTCCAGCCTTGCAGAAAGAATAATTGTTTTCTAATAAATTCTGACTTTAAAGTGGTTTCTGGCACTCATGCACATTCTGGTCTGGGGAAACATCTTGAAAAGACTTGGAAAATTTGGTCTTTTGAGGAATTAACCTAAAAACTATAACACTACAGCCTCATAAAAGAATGATTGTTTACCCTGTGCTCTGCTCAAAGCCTCATTAAGGTTTTTACGTATGATTTATGCTGTTTTGTAATTCCTTTAGTAAACCAAAAGAAGCTGCTTTTGAGGAAAAATTTGCCAACTGTCTACACTGGCCACTCAAATTTCCGCAAGAACACTGACTTCCTACTGTCTGAAATCAGTGCGTCTTGCGGAAATACTATGCTGCTCCCGTTCGGGCAAAAGTCCTTTTGAGCAAAGCTTTTGCGCAAAAGGGCCAGGATAAACAGCTCAGATTTGTTTTGCGCAAAAAAGCCCCGATCGCGAAAATGGCTATCGGGGCTTTTTTGCGGAAAAGCGCGTCTAGATTTGCACGGATGCTTTTCCGCAAAAAGTGCTTTTGTGGTAAAGCGTCCATGCCAATCTAGATGCTCTTTTCCGCAAATGCTTTTAATGGAAAACTTTTCCGTTAAAAGCATTTGCGGAAAATCATGCCAGTCTAGACGTAGCTATGAGTATTGGTCTTAATTAGACATACTGAAAGATCCTTGGAGCTTGAGAATGTGGGTCAGACTCTGATCTTAGTTATACCCAGAATGTATGAGGCCAAATCCTGTTTTGGACTGAGTAGGTTTATTTTCAATGGGATTATTCCAGATTTTCATTGATGTAAGCCATCAGAATCTTGTGAACTATGTGTGTGTCAGCTGCTTTTTCTCAAAGGAGCATGAACTTGAACTATTACCTTCTGTTTGGATTCAGCTGTTTTCTGAGAATTCATTAATTAGCTCCTTTCCCCTCCCCCCCAGGCAAATTCCAAGGTTTCTGAGCTGCCCGGGATGTAAAACTAAGGCTGTCACCATATATCATAGTCATTAAGGATTTTATGGCAATTTCACAATAGTAGCAGTGTTAGTCCCAGTGACTGGGTCAGTTCCCAGTGGGACAATTAGTACAATCGAACTACATTCATCCTCTCTCTAGTTTCAGTTTTAGCTGGTGCTTTCTCTTTTTCTCCGAACCATTGTGTAGCGTGGGCATATACTGTTAAACAGTTGCCACCATCTGCTCTAGAAGGGCTGCACTGGAATGGTGGGTAAAATGGGATTGGTTTTATGTCTCTGTTTCACATTCTGTATGCAATGTCCTGTGGAGCAAAGGTTACTTTTTAAGGGTTTTACTTACATTGTTATTTAACCAGGCTTTACCTTGTCTACACTTCACTTTAAAATCACAGAAATGTATAGGTCTTACCAGGCTGACCATCATAAAAACCAGCTGTATCACATCAGTGTAGGCAACTGAATTTAGTCCTCCCAGTAAAGTGTAGAGTACAACAGTAGATGCTGAAATGATGATTGCTAAATAGCCTCTGATATCCAAGATCACACTCATTGTAGCCCCTGCAAAGAAAGACAGCTTTACACCTATACACACGTGCACACACACACACCCTGCAATCAGTACTCCCGGTACAAGCCAAAACTCAGTGCAAGGAGTCTTTATGCAAATAATGGAGCAGAAATTATCATATAGTTGAAAAATATATTTTAAATAACATGGTGGGTTTTAAAACCAAATATTAGTCCTGTGGCACCTTAGGATATGTCTGCACAGCAGCGTTATTCCGAAATAACAAAGAGCGCATCTACACTACAAGCCTTTATTTCAAAATAATGTTGAGTTGGAGGACTTCTTACTTTGACTCCTGTAGCCCTCATTTCATGAGGAGTAAGGGAAGTCAAAGGAAGAGTGTTCTTCCTTTGACTTCCTGCAGTGGGCACAGCACCAAAAGCTGAATTAAGTTATTTTGACTTAAGCTATGCAATTGACGTAGCTAAAATTGCTTAGCTTAATTCAACTTTTGCCCTGCTGTGTAGACATGCCCTGAGAGGCTAACAAACAAATACATGTTGGCTACGTCTACACTGGCCCCTTTTCCGAAAGGGGCATGTTAATTTCACAGGTCGTAATAGGGAAATCCGCGGGGGATTTAAATATCCCCCGCGGCATTTAAATAAAAATGCCCGCCGCTTTTTTCCGGCTTTTAGAAAAGCCGGAAAAGAGCATCTACACTGGCCCCGATCCTCCGGAAAAAAGCCCTTTTCCGGAGGATCTCTTATTCCTACTTCAAAGTATACCATACCAGATGCTTGAGAGGAAGATGGAAGAAAACTTGAAATTGTGGAATGTCTTGCTCATATGGAAAGGTCCTTAACCCTGCCAGTTGGAGGCTGACTAATGTCTTGCAGTATGAGGCTTATCCTTTCAAAATGTTTATTTTTTGGAAAAAATCTCTTTATGAGCATGACGCTAGATATATTTGATATTCATATCTAATTATTTTCTAACTCTGGTTAAGCTCTGGTCCTCAGTGATATCTTGTGATAATGAGTTCCACAGCTTAAATGCACAAGGGGTAAAAGTATTTCCTGTTATTAGGATTTCATTTGTTGTCTTGAAATTTCAATTTCTCCTGTATTATGGAGAGGGAGAATAGAAGTTCTTAACCTACCTTAAAGTCTATGAGACCTACCTTCTTTAGATCTTTCATTAATTTTGTTTGCTTTTATCATGTCCTTGTTTATTCCCTTCCCCTTTGGGGTAAACAATCTTTTCATTCTCTCTTCACAGGTAATTTTTTCCTGGCCCTTAATTATTTTCATTGCTTGTCTCTGAAAACTCTCTTTCTAAGTATTCTTGGTAAAAACATGCCAACAAACTGTTCCCGTTTTTCTATCTCCCAAGGTAATGCTTTTCTACATCTCAATTTTTCTATTTCCTTTTTTGTCACTTTCTCTGGTCACTCTCATTTTCTGTCTGTCATCTGCTTCCTCATCTTTATGCTCCTGTTCCCACCTCTTTCACTCTGTCTCTCCTATTTCCTCCTCAATCCTCCTTTCTCATTTCTTTAGCTGTCCACTTTATATCCCCCTCTGTCACTCTTCTTTTCTGTTCCCTTCTCACATCTTCCGTCTTCGTCTCTCTTTTGTCCTCCCTCAGCTCCTCTTTCTTATTAAGACTTCTGCCACAGCTTCCCCTTTCTTTCCTAATGATAATGACCAATGTCACTGTGTTAAGAGCACGGCTGTTTCTCTGCTTTCCCCTCTCTGCTTCTCCATTGTGTCATTTTGTCCCCACTTTTCTCTCCCTCATGGGACCACACCTGTGCTGTAGCATTCAGAATCCAGCAGCTTGTAATACACTTGGGGAGGCTGCCACTTTGAGGAGAAAGCAAATTTCCCTTTATTATCATGCTCTGAGAGAGGGGCACATTGGACTAACGATTTCCTACTGATGTCAAAGGCAGGGTTGCACTGGGTGGAAGTATGCAGTAGCTAAATGTTTTTGTCATTATTTGTTCAGTACCTTATCATCACATTCAGCATCACCGAGGGGGACAGGATTCTACCTTTAACATCAGAGCTATTTCGACCCTTTGTCATTCTTCCTTTTCAGTCCTCCTTTTCCCTACCTCTCTTCCTCTCGCTCTCCATCACCATTTTTGTTTAATTGAACCCTGAATTTTCCACTGGGAACAAAACTGTTTTGATGGGGAAATTTTGCCCTGCCCTAAGTCACATTGAAAGTTTCCTTCACAAATATGAGGGCTACAAATCTACTTTATAAAAATATGAACGCTTAAATTCTGCCACATCTGAATGTGTCATATGGGGCCACAACATGTTATAACATGAAGGTAGCCAGATGTATGTCACCCTGGCCCTCGGGGAACTGCTGACCAACAATAGAACAAAATTAACCCCACCCTTATATTAAGTAAAACACTACAGTATTCTTTCTGCACTAGTAGTCCAAATACTCTGCAGCAGTAGTTCATATAATCCACCTTACAGTTGCATCTTTTGTGCACAATATTATCAGATTTTTTGCTTATTTCCCTATTATGGCTTAATAGTTGCATTCTCTGTGTATCTGCATAATCACTATAAGGATCAAGAGACTAATTACTCTAAAAAAAGCTACATGATGCAAGCGGAAAACGAAGTCTGTTCTGAATGTGTGCATGTATAAGATTTATACTTACCTAAAGCAGAAAGTATAGCTGCAAACCAAAATACATCTCCTATCAATGTTGGAAGAAAGAGAAGGGTTCCCATAGTGTTCCCATAGGTTTCTTGGAGGGGGTCCATCATTGTCACATAGCTTTTGGACCGCATTGGCTTTACAAAGAAGAGGCCCCCTAGCAAAAACCAAATGGCAAGGTGAATTATTTTAAGCAGCCTAAGAACAAAAAAAGGATGGGACCCTATTGTGCTAGATGCTAGATGCCATACAGCCCTGGCCTCAAAGAGCTTATAATTAATCTGAATAGACAAGAAAGACAAAGGATAGGAAAAGAGATATAACAGGCAGAGTGAACAATATGGTGGCTGCAAACTGCATGGTAGTTTTATTATTTTAATGCATTTTAATTATGCATTTAATTATGCATATATTATCTCCTGGTCAGAACTATTCCATCTTTCTAGAGGACATCAGCATTGAAACTAAGAACAATCCATTATATTATATCCTTTCATTAACATTTTCCTAATACAAAATTGGATGATTTCTCCTTTCCTCCCCCAACACATTCATAGGGCACTATACCAAGTTGTTGTTTTTTTACTATAAGCCCATAATTACATTGATTTTTCTTCAGAGTAGAGATGAAAGACTAGTTTAGAAGCTCAGAAAGTCATTGGTGTGTGTGTGTGTGTGTGTGTGTTTGAATGTGTGTGCGCACACACATGTGTGCACACATAGAAACCGAACATGACAAGAGCTTAAAGTTGACTCCAATCCAGAATTTTTTAGATCGTCCATAATGGTACTAAGAGGATATATGTGAATATTAGTCATGGAAGAAATCCAAACCATGGGGACTCAAGAGACTACCACCCACCGCAAATGGTGGAGAATGCAGACAGTTTATGCCTGATTCCCAGGGAGGGAGGGGGAACACAGAGGGAGATAGAGCTCAACAACTCTGAGCAAGATGGAGCCTGAGCAGTGGGGTAAGTGTCTAGTGGAGCTGCAGCAGCAGCAAGTGACTCAGCAACAGCAGTTCCAGCAGCAATGGATCACCTGAGAGCAAGTTCACATGATGCAATGGCAACTGCTGCTGAGGAAGATGATGAACCAGCAGCAGGAGTTCCACAGGGAGGTGCACAATGGATTGTGCCAACCCTTTGCTCCTCAGGAGTCCCTACAGAGCCGCATGCTACCATAGTGAGTCCACTCCCTACTACCCATGAAGCAAAATAAAATGGACCAGGCAATGACTCTGAGGTCTTTTAAATTATCTTTGAACATGGACACCTACCTGTGAGTGCTCCAGGATTGGAGCACCCACAGGATAAATTAGCAGGTGCTCAACACCCATCAAGGTCCTCTCTCCCTCTAGCACCTCTCGCCCTCTGGCATCCCTGCAAATAATTTCCTAGCCCTCCCTCCCAGTGCAGCATTCAGGATGCTCCAGGAGGGAGGAGGAGGAGAGGGAAAGGGGTGCACTTGGTATAGGAGGAGGGACAGGGGCTTGGAGAAAGGGGTGTAATGGGGGTGTGGAGCAGGCTCAGGAAGAGGTGGATGGGAGGGCTTGAGAGAAGAGATGGAATTGGGGTGTGGCAGGAGCAGAACAGGGGTGGGAAGAGGTGGGGTAGAGGCGAAGGGAAAGGGTGAATTAGGGGTGGGGCCTGGAGCAGAGTGGGGATGTCAACAGGGTATGGTTAATGGAGAGTTTTCTAGAGGTCGAAAAGGCCACTAGAGACTGAATTCCTCAAGGCTTCTTCAGAGTGGTAACTCCCACTTTGAGGGTTTCAGCTTTGGAGTTGTCCTCCAGGATGCTCAGGCCAGCCCATAGACTATGGAAAGAAGGGACAGGAGGGTCAGGCATGGGCATGACACTACCAATGGGTCTGGGCCCAGCTGTTTGAAAGTGCTCCTCCCACACAGCCTTTCTGTGTGTGCTTTAGGTGAGAGAAAATTGCTCCTTCCTGCCCTGAGTGGCAGCTGTGCAGCAGCAAAGGGACTGCTATGGCCCCCCTTCATGCCTCTGTCTTTGGCTGAGACACCCATGGAACATAAGAACGGCCATACTGGGTCAGACCAAAGGTCAATCTAGCCCAGTAGCCTGTCTGCCAACAGTGGCCAGCAACAGGTGCCCCAGAGAGGGTGGACCGAAGACAATGATAAAGCGATTTGTCTCCTGCCATCCCTCTCCAGCCTCTGACAAACAGAGGCCAGGGACACCATTTCTATCCCCTGGCTAATAGCCTTTTATGGACCTAACCTCCATGAAATTATCTAGCTTCTCTTTAAACTCTGTTATAGTCCTAGCCTTCACAGCCTCCTCTGGCAAGGAGATCCACAGGTTGACTACACGCTGTGTGAAGAAGAACTTTCTTTTATTAGTTTTAAACCTGCTACCCATTAATTTCAT